GAATAAATGAATGCCCTGGTTCCAAAATTACTTCTTTTCTTACTCCACCCTCAATCAAAATGCCCCCTCCTTCAGAGCATGAATCTCATTTGGAAGGTGATAGGGAGGCCTCCACAGTATTTGCTGAATGAATGAAGCTAAACCAAATGACACCAACAAAGAATGCCAGCCTCTTAATGCTTGGCTATTCCCAGGAGTATTAGCATTCTTAAACAGAAAGCTTGAATTTCAGGCATTGTTGATAAAGAGAAAAATGTCAGGCCAGCCAGAGTTGAAGTGATATATTTGGACATAGTTGCTGTTCCATGGCTTCTTAAACCTAAAAATATTTATTAAGACTCGTTTGGGCTTCTTTGAGATTAAAACGTAAAATAGCGATTGAAAAGCTGTGTTTGTTTCTAAGAAAAGAATTGTGGATGGGGAATCAGAGGGCCAGGTTTTAATCCTGGCTGTTCACTAATTAGCTCCTTGACATTTACTGAGCATCTAGCATGTGGCTGGCCCCGAGCGAGACACTTAACTCACACATATCGTTTTTGCAGCTTTTCCAGGTGGATATTCTTATCATCTGTATTTTATCGATAGGGAGACAGGTTCAGAGAGGTCAGGTAGTATGCAGGAGGGCACTCCCTAGTAAACAATGGAGCAGAGACTCAGACCTAAATTTTTGTTAGCCTGTACTTCTGTTCCTTCCCCTCCTTCCTGATATAGCACCTCGGGCCTGCTGTGAAGCTATTAGCTGGGGGCAGGAGCAGAAACTCTTGGGCTCTAAGGAGCTTATCTCTAAGATCCCTTTCATAAGATTTCTTTACTATACCATTTTTTGGGGGTACGGGAAGAAGAGAAAATAGCCCGGCACTGAGAACTAACTCATTTGGGAATGTAGCTCAGTGGTTAGCATGAAGGCTTGGAAGGTAGGTTTCCTAAGGCCCCATCTTGCCTTTACTGCTCACCTTTGGCATCTACAACATGAGTAGAATCAGGGCACCTCCCTCCTCGGTTGTGATGAGATGAAGCAGAGATGTCTGCAAAGTGTGCGGTCCAGTGGGCCATGCTTACTGAGCTGGTCAATTCTGAGAAGTGGCTGCAGGTTCAGAGGCTCCTGGAGTCAGTATATCAGCCAAGCAGATGCCCAGGGGAGCTCTGAAAACGCCAAGGAGAACTCCCATCAACAGGAGGGGCAGGAGGAGAGAGTAGCTGAAAGGCAGGAAGCCCAGAGCCCACAGGAAACATTAGCTGGAGAAACAAAGTATGCTCAGAAAAGCCCAGCCCCGCGTGAAGGCTGGAGGCTTGAAGTTTGGAAGCAAGCAGGAAAGGGAGCCCCCTGAAGAATTCAAAGTAACTCACTGTTATTTTTTACATCTGTGCTATTTTCTCTGATTACCAAAGAAATATCTTGGTATTTTACAGAAATTTCAATAATGCAAATAGCACAAGAATCCCCTATCCACAAGTTTTAAAAACTATGTTTATTCATGCTTAAAACAGTATAGACGTGTACAAATATACTCAATGAATTTTCTCAAAGAGAGTACACCTGGTTGACCTGCACCCAGACTGTGGAACATGATGTTGTCAGAACACTAGAAGTTGCCCTATCTGCCCCCGCCACTCATTACCAATCCCAATAGAACCCTTTTCCTAATTTCTTTCCAGTTACTGGATTAGTTTTGCATGTTGTTAAATTTTAAATAAATGGAAAGGCACAGATGTAACCTTTTGTGTCTGGCTTCTTTCACTCAGCATATGGTTGTGAGATTTATCCATATTGTTCTTTAGTATTTCATTGTATAGATATATCACAATTTATCTATTCATTTCATCAAATACTAATGAGCATTTGGGAAGTTTCCAGTTATTATAAATAACGCTAAGTCGCTCTTGAACATATCTTTAGGTGAACATATGCACTGGGAGTGGAATTGCTGGATTATAGCATGTGTATATACTATAGTTACTACTGCCCAAATTCTTACAAGGATATTAAAAGTACATACAATATTTCTGTGTGGGCTCCTAGGAAAACTTCAGAATATTACAGACTTCCAAGAGAAGAGGATGAGGAGGGGGCGGCAGTCCAGAGGCACTTGTCCAAGGCTCCCAATAGGTCTCTTTGTGTTCAATCCACCCAGGACACCATGGCCCCATGACCTGCCATTCCCATCCACACTCCCAAACAAAGGCCCTTCTTTTAACCCCACCACACTTCCCGGGAGGCATTGGATCACATACCTGTTCACTGGCTGGCCTTGGAGTGGATTTTAGTCATTTCTCATATTCATCCATTGTAACAAATATTGAGTGCCTACAATTCAATTGCATTGTTTTGGAATCTGGGATTGCAGAAATGTACACCTGCTCTCATGGAGCTAGCATCCTAGTAGGAAGAGAAAGAAAATAAAGAACTATGTTAGTGGTGATAAGGTCTATAGAGAAAAATAAAACAATATAAGGAGAATAGAAAGAGTGGGGTGGGGGAAGACTGTGCTATTGTGTAAGTGAGTGGTCAGGGAAGGCCTGTAAAGCAGACAAGATCTGGATTATGTTTTAGATGATCACTCTAGCTGTTATATTGGAAATGGGCTATATGGGGCCAAAGTGAAATAAAGGAGACAGGAAGTCATTGCAAGAGTCCAGACAAGAGATAATGGTGGATTGGACTAGGGTAATGTCAGTGGCAGTGATGAGAAGTGGCTTCATTCGCCATATATTCTAAAGGTAGGGGTTATAAGACTTGCTAATGAATTGGCTGAGGAGCAGGAGAGGGGAATCAAAGGTACCTACCTTCCACCAAGAGCAATGCTTGCTTGCATGTACAGCCAAGGATCAGGCCCTGGGTCCAGGGTCTGTTGGTTGAATGGGCAGATGTCTTTCCTGATTACAGCCAGCCAAACTTGCTATGTGAAAGATTTATTCTCTTTCATGTCAGAGGTAGTGTAATGCAGGTTATTTAGACAAATAATTGGAGTCAGACTATCCATCCCAGCTGTCACGTATCAATTGTGTGTATCCTTAAGCAAGTTGCATAACCTCTCTGAACCTCCTCTTTTGTAAATATGGGACAATAGTAGTACCTTCATCACAGGGTTGTTGGGATACTGAGAGTATATATAAACAGGCTTAGTGCAGATCTAATATTGAATCAGGACTTAGAAAAATACCTATGTCAAACTAATTCCCAGTTAAAACAAGCAGACAGAAGGCTATGGAATAAGGGTTATCTTTATTTGAATTGCAAAGTACAAATATGAACCAGTTCCGGAAATATAGTTGTAACAGTTCAGAAATGGCACCAGAAACTTCCAGAAGGGACCATGACAGCATACGTTTGTAGCTTTGGTGAGGTGGGTGGGTTCACACAAAAGCCATCCTCACCTCCAATCTTCTCTGCAGCAATTGATAGGTTATCAATTACCAAGAGCAGCCAGCTCCAATGTTTCCTGTTCCTCCTCAACCTTTTTTTCCACTAACACCTCTCTCGATTATCATCTGCTGCACTGACCCCTGCTTGGAGTAGCACCAGAAGAATGGCAGGAGTAAGAGAAATGTCTTGACACAAGGAAGAGTGATATCCCACTCTGTGGGCCTGAGGCTATCGAGGGCAGGGGGTCAGGAAAGCTGCAAGCATAGAAGCCCAACCTCTTCTGAGATTTGGCAGGGAGAGGACACAGGGAAACACCGATATCTGTTACACTTTGACATCAGCACCTTGGGCTTTCAAAACACAAACGGTAGACAAAATCGCCTAGGCAAGACTGCCGTCCAACTCATAGAGTGGATCTGACAACGTTAACTCCTATATCCTGACCGTACAGACCGCCCCCTGTGGCACTCTGACCGTGGAAGATCTGTGGAAATGTGGACAGACAATGGATTACAGATGGGTCATAGAGCCATCTCAGGTTTGTGGCAACAGAGAGTGATGCTGAGCCAAGTGGTACGGGAATGCGGGGTAGAGCGCCAGGAAATTGCCAACGTAACAGTCTAGGCACTTGAAATATTATTGTTAGATTGTTAAAAACTAAATAAATTAACATACATAGAATAAAATAAATATATAATTTAAGAGGCATTTTACAAACAAAACAAAACAAAAAATAGTTGTTATTTTTCCATTTGGGCAGAAGTCCCAAAATTCAGAGTTCTCAGGCTTGTGGTATTTCACAGTTAGCTCATCAAATCCAGCGCTGTAGGGTCCAATGGCAGATCCCTTGGTGACTACTTGAGTCCGTGGCTTTTCAATCTTTGTTACTTTCTTCCAGTCCACAAATCTTTCCTTCTTCCTCTCTCTCTCATTCTCTTTTTTTCAGTCAAAGATCCTGGAGCATATGGAATTAACTGGCATCTTAATCCAGAAGACAAGTGTTTAAACAAACTTTATAGGGTTAAGTGGGGTTTGGTGGAGGGGAATCAGAAGAGCATGAAGGTCCCTCACTTTTGCTTCCTTCTGACCCAGATCCCGTTGGACATATTCTGTTTGGCACTTGAAGGCTCTGATAAAGCAATACTGGGAGGCCCAACCTAGATGGCAACTGGAGATGAGGGAGTCTTCATGGCCGGTTGTGAAGTCCTTCCCCTCTAAAGAGTCTGTGATCCGCTTCTGTCTTCTCAGAGGTAGCAGTCCCCAGCTTATTCCTAAAGAACAAGAGGAAGAACTTTAAAGCTGGATCCGGTCATAAGAGGTCCTAAGAGTCTCCCACATCCAGTCTTAATAAGTGGAAAGATCATCTGGGAGAGGGTGGAAGGAGAGGGGATAAGAGCTGGAGATGCTGTCCTCTCAGGCATCCCTCTTGGGTATCTCTCTAGCAACTTTCACCCTTAGTGGAGATGAAGTACGGACAGCCTTTTTGACAACCATTCTGCAATGGGTCCCTAACTCTCTAGCAGCCTGACCTCCCAGGTCAAGAGAAGAACTCAGTATGCCTTGAAACAGATCCAGGAAGGGTGGTGATGGTGCCATGGGGCAAAGAATGGACCATTACCTTGAGCACAGGTCTCTCTCAGTGGGAAGTAGTCATGCCCAACTTCACTTTCTCTTCATTTTCCACATCATAACCTCCTCTCCTATGGTACCTGAGGAAGGTTAAGTTTTGTGAGCAAGCTCTGCCACTACAACAGGGTGCAGGTCCCAGAAAGAGTCCTTCTGAAGGATGCTGTCATGTTGGTTCCACCCACTACTTGGAAAATCCCCGAGGGATGGCAGCCCTACAGACCTCTGATCAAAGGTCCAACTGTGCCAAGGATCCCAAACTGACTCTAACAGCAGCAGGCTACAATTTGCTAAGAAATGTACTCCTTGCTTACATAATCCTCACAGCATGCTATGAGGTAGGTGGACAAAGATTATAATCACTGAAAGACTACAACCCTCAGAAAGGAGGTCACTTGGTCCAGGTCTCTCAACAAATGAGTTATGCTGCTTGAAAATGAGCACAGAGTGTTTGGTAAGTCTCCCCCAACCTAGAACATAACCTGGAGTGGAAGCATGGCCTGAGGGCCAAATGCCTCAGACTTGCGGGATATACCAATAGCACCACCCATGCCAAACCACACACTGGAGAAGGAACTGTGTGGCGAGGTGGGACCATGGGTGGGTTACTAGGTCTGCTATGAGTAGCAGGATCTCCTATGACCTGGCAAGTTTTGCCCTTGGCTCTAGACACTGGACTCATGTCAAACAGAGAAGTCAGGGCCTTGGAGAACCTGTCCTTGGGAATGCGATCAGAATCCTAGCTCAGAATTTGGGGAGGTACGAGGGCTTATGTGGTCACCAGGCAGAAGACCCGGGGGGAAGACGAGGAATAGAAGTGATCTGCAGAAACAGCCTGCAAGGGCCCCCAACACTCACCTAAACATGAGAAGCCCCACAATGACGAGCAGACAGACGGACGACAGCACCACGGCCACCACAACCAGGATGGTTGTGTGGTCATAAGTGGATAAGCGATTTTCCACCGGAAGACTCAGCCCATGGCACCTCTCTCCGTGGTAACCCAGGTTGCAACTGGTTCACGACAGAACAAAACAAAGATGAGGTTATTGGTTTGAACGTTCACTCTTGTCAACGGCCCACGCACATGAGCCAAACCCCACTCCTCACACCCTCATGGTTCCTCGCCATCATCCCTGCCCTGTGTCCTTCTCCAGAGGGGCTTTTACAGACCCCTCTGAGGGCTCCATCTCCTCCCCACCCCCCTTCTCACTCCCCTTCGCCAATCCCTCTGATTCCCTGGCCTGAGATTCCTGCTCCAGGCGGGGAAAAAAGGGAGGGAGGACTTCAAGCTCTCAGCTAGATGTGTTCCACGTGTGGATGATTTATTGCATGTGTGGAAGACGGCCGGTTTGAGCCGGTGAAGAGGACTTAAGTCACAAGAGCTGGTGGGTTGAACCGAGGAGATTCAGTATCGCTCCCTCCGGTAAGGCCCCTCAGCGCTCTGACCCAGAAATAAACCCGGCCTTCCCCATCAATGCTTCCCAAGTTCAGTCCCTCTCAGCCACTACCCAGCCTATTAATAGGTCCCATGCCTTTGCCAGGAGTCACTTTTCTCAAGTTCCCTTCAATTAACTCCCAGACACGCCCCCACCCCCACCCCCTCCCGGGTGCAGAGTCCAACTTGAGAGCTCAACTTCAGCCTTTGGCCTCTGAACACTGGGCTAAGGGGCCTCCTTCACCACAGGACAAAGCAAACAAACCAAGGTAACATCGTGCCCGGCTGTGCTGCCAGAGCGCGGAAGAATGTCAGAAACAAAGCCCTGGCTCTCCTCACTCTAGAAATAAATTAGATGGCAACTGCTTCTTCTAACACAAAGCATTTCCTGGACGTCTTAGGAAGACTCGGAAGCGCTTACAATTGAAGGAGCGAGTTTCTGTCCCTTCCTTTCTCTGAGCACCAGGAGGCCCTTTGATGCAGGGAGGAATGCCGTGGGGTGCAGCAGGCAGAGCTGTTTTCCTCCTGGGCACACAGCAGGCAGAGGTGTGGACTAGATCGTCTGACTCTGGGCTCAGTGTGCTGCCCACTCACATGCATCACTGCCCCCCCCCAGGCTGTCCAATGCCCCCAGTAGGGGGTGTGCAAGAGGCAGCTGGTCGATGTTTCTCTCTCATCGACGTTTCTAGCTCTCTCTCTCTCCCTTCCTCTCTGTATAAAATATATTAAAAAACAAACAAACAATCAAACAAAAAACATCTCTATGAAGTAGGAATTACTCTCCCCATTTTAAAGAGGATGAGACTGAGGCTTAACGTCTTAGAGAAGGTTACACAGCTAGAGAGTGGTAGAGGCAGGATTCAATCCAGCACTTTTAATGACTTCAGATACTTTCCTCTCCCGGTGGGAGGAAAGCTGAAGTTGAGCCTGTTTTTCACTTGCAGCCTATCGTTCAAACCCCACAGGTAGTTACTCAGATGATAGAAATAAATATTGGCCTCAAGGTCCTGCAATCCAGTTACATAATCCCTCCACCCCCACCCTGAGTCAAAAGGATAATAATGTAAACACCCTAATATTACCGACCTCCCCTCCCTTTGCAGCAGACTCCTGGCTTCCCCAGGGGAGGAGGGAGGGTGACTGCATTCCAAACACCCCAGGGTGGGGGCAAGATCATGTGTCTTCTCCAGAGCCAGAGAGTGAGTGCTCCATCAAACTGGGACATGACCCTCCTCCCCATGTCTGTGACCCATTTCAGAGCTTGTATGACAACAGTAGCAAGAGCCCAGAGACATCTTCCAAACTGGCTTTCTCCACCTCTCCTCCAGAAGGTGGAGGGGGCACCATTGGTGCGTGGGCTCAGAATACTCGAGTTCCAGACCGGTCCTGCTGCTACTTCTATCTAGGCAATCTTGGGCAGTTACTTTTGCCTTTCAAAGTATTGGTTTTTCTCATGTATAAAATACAGCAATAATACCCAGCTGGCATGGTTCAGTGGTTGAGCGTGGACCTATGAACCAGGAAGTGAGGGCACATGCCTGGGTTGTGGGCTCAATCCCCATTGTGGGGCGTGCAAGAGGCAGCAGATCAATAATTCTCTCTCATCATTGATGTTTCTATCTCGCTCTCCCTCTCCCTTCCTCTCTGAAATCAGTAAAAATATATTTTTAAAAATATACAAGAATAATAAATGCCTACTTCACTGGACTATTGTGAAAATCAAATAATACAGATAAAAGCACTTAATAAGAGGTGAAGGCCCACATATGTGCGCATTATTATACCATATCAGACTCCGAAGGTACTGCCCATTCCTGAGGAATGGGCCACCAAAGTCAGTCGGGTCCAAAGAGAAGGGTGTGTCATTCCTTCTCAGCACCTGGCAGTGAGGCGAGCAGAGCCCTCAGGCCTGTCCCCACGCCAGCTCTGAGTCCTCCTCAACCCAACCGCTCCCAGGTTTCCTCCAACCACAGGAACCTTTGCAGCCAATATCTGGGTCAGCGGCCAGTCAGGAGCCCCAGGAAATGGCTCTTTGAGGGGAACATTTGGCTGGTGACACAAAAGAGTTTTCCTGTGGGTGATGGCTGGAGAGGGCTGGCTGAGGAAGCCAACTAGCCTCAAGTCCACCACAGCAGCCTGGACACACCCTGTGGCGGTTCGTGGTCTGGAGGCGAGGAGGAGCCACAAAGGGCCCCAGATGTAGGTGCCCAGATGTCACATTCCCCCAAACCAGGAACTCTGCGTCTTCTCGGTGCCTTCTGCCCTGTATACCAAGGGCTGGAGGCAGGAGGCAGTCAACCAGACACAGTCGGGCCCCTTGAAAATACGCCTCGGAAGCAGACACAAAGTCTTCAAATCAGACTGCCATTCTCTTAGCCGTAGTAAAAGTCTTAAAGACCTCTAGGCTAACAGCTGCCCTCTTTAAAATCCGGCTCAAGCTCTGTAAGGACAGACAGGAAAGAAAGATGCCAGCCAACACCCAGGGCAGCCCGGGGACATAAAAAGCATGTTGGACTGCAAGTCAGGCACCTGAGTCCCTGTCCTGTTTCCATCCACTTATTTAGCTGTTGATCTCAGGCAAATCATTTCCTACTTCCTGCTCCAGTTTCCTCATCTTTCAAATAGAGATAGTAAGCAATGCCTGCCCAGCAGAGAGCTTTTGAGAATCCCATAATAGGTCTATATCTCCCCACCCCCTAGAATAGCTGGCATCATGTAGGCGCTCATCATATACCTGTTGGGCTCAATTCAAGTTAAACTTCAGGGCAAAGGAGAGCAGCAGCGTCATGGTTATCATCACCGTGCCTGGGGCCACCGTGGCCATGGGCACCTTTAGGTTCTCTGGGTGTAGATGGTTGGCTGAGTCCGGCTTCTCAGGAGAGCAGTCTCACAGGGGTTCTCAGTTGAGCAGTGGAAGTCCATCCACCAACGCCCTGATCCCATTTGGCCCAGACAGATCCCTGGCCTCAATCCCTCTTGACTACCCTCGGAGTCACTGCCTCCACCCTGGGTTAATGATGCCATTTAACAATTTTAAGACAGACATTTCCTGCCCTGTCCCAAGGCCTTGGGAAGCATGATGTGGAGACTGCCTATGTCATTCTCAAGCAACCCCCTCCAACACTAGTCTCTTGACAAGAGTGTTATAGGAGAGGACACACAAGTGGCTGCGGACAAGATGGGGAGTAATATGTCCGTCTGCCACTTGCCAAGTACTGGGCAGCACGGCTGTGTGAGATCAGACGGGACAAGGAAGTTTTAAAAAGCCAAGGGATCTGCACCATCACAGAAAAGGCGACAGACAGCCAAGCCTTCTTGACAGGCTGGGAGGTGGTGCACACCCAACAGTCTCCTGGCCCTGTCCGGAGTCTCCCTGGTCACAGGGCCTGCCTGCCCACCGGGCCTCATGCCCAGCAGGAGAGAGTGGATGTTTACAGCCTGACGCGGGTGTTGGCCTCAGGCACACTGGCGACATTATGCCTGCCAGAGAGCATGGCAGTGCCGTCATCCCTGAGGGGTTGCCAAGACAGCAGTTTTCTGGGCTTGGCCTGACAGATCAGCTGGGGAACCCGTGGGCCTTCCACCCACGACCCCGTGGAGGGAAGGGTGGTGCTGCCTGACTGGGGGCTGATGCCTACTGGATTGGGTTCCACTTCCTGTGAATATTGCACAAAGGAAGTGTTCTCCCACCCCACGGCCAGAGGCCAATACCCACCATGTTCCCTTGCTGGGGGGAGGGGGAGAAAAAGGGGAACAGGGGTTCCTCCCCACTCCCATGATGACCACTTCCTGTGCAGTCCTACCATGCCTTAGACTCAACTCACATTAGCTCGTTCATGTGCACACATGTTGGAGGGCACACATGCCTGCATAGCATGTGTCCAAATGTACCGCCTACCTCCCTGCAGGGTTTGGGAAAGGAGGCCACAGGAGCCCTGCTCCGCCCAGAAATACCCCATCTGGAGTAGGCAGGAGGCAGGGAATGAGGGATCTGTCTTCAGGTGGCAGCTCTCCTAGCCACATGCTGATTTCTGAGCGAGCAGGAAACGCCCCCAAGGATGAAAGAGCGTCACGGACCCACACCACAGGAAATTGCATCCCTGTGCCGGGGAAGCCCCTTCCTCTGACTAAAAATATTTCCCTTCCTCCCGACTTCCGCCCTGAGTTTGAGAAGAAACTGGGTGCAATTATGAATTCAAGGAACAGTGACAACTAGGAACAGGCACGTGACTGACAAAGAGTGTGTGAGAGTCAGCCTGGGGGCAGGAATACTTACATGCAGGATGGAGCCCGGAGCTTCTTCACATATTTGCATTCTCCGTGGATGCAGTAGTCCTTGTATTTCTTAAGACATGGATCTCTCTTCTTCCCTAACCCCTTGCCTTTCTTCTTCCTTTTCCCGCGCTCTTCCTTGCTGGGTGTGGCCAGAGCTTGTGGCTTGGAGGAGAAAGGAGCTGCAGGAGAAAAGTACTCTGTTAAGTCTTGGACATCCCCCTACCAGCCCCTCCAGAGAAAGAATGAGAAGAGCACAGCATCTGGAAGGAGAAAGTGCTCTTTATCCCGCCTTAAGTCAGAAGGTTGGGGAGACCCTTGGCTCAGTGCCTCCCGAGGGCTGAGGAAAGAGTGGGCAGAATCACCAGAAAGTGGTGGAAGAAGCAGAGGCTGGTGGGGTCCCAAGGAAGGCATTTCACAGATTCAGTTTAAGGACTTCATTCCAAGAATGCTAGCTAGCTTCTGTTGAGTAACTGCAACTAATTGGGCAATTCTACCAACCACCTCACCCCCATTCCACTGCCCATCCCCATCTCCTATTGTCCCATGCCAACCTGGTTCTATGTTGGCCTTAAATCAACCTCATTTCCTGATGCTGCACTCAGTGGCCCACTTGCAGGAAGACAGTGTCAGAGATTAAATTGCTTCTGGAGAAGGTTCTTGGAGGGGTGTTTTTTTTTGGGGGGGGGTGTCATAAAATAAGAACCGTGCCTATGTCCAGGTGGCCTCCTCTGGGGTACCTATTAGCACCAGGGTACCATGACTTTAGCAAGTAAGCCATCACTGTTCAGGGCCTTGCTTTTTTTTACTTCGAGCAAAATATCTGTCCTGCTCTGGGCCCCTGCAGCTCACCACTTCTCTCATCGGTCCATTTACACTATCCCCAAATGTCCTGGCTCTCTAGGATAGGGAGCACAGTGTGTTAAAGGGATAGAGAGATAAAAAGTAAGGAACTATCCAGAAGGAACTGAAACAACGATGACTCCCCCCCATCCTTTCACACTTCAAAAGGGAAAAACCACCTCACACAGACATCCAGCTGGGACTGACCAGAGGCTACGCCCATCAGCCCAGGGGTCTGACACCAATCACCCCCCTTTTTCCTCCCCCCAGCTGGAAAAAAGGTGTCCACTGTCCATGGCTGTAGCTAAGTATCTGGCAGACAGGTGAGCATCAAACATTAGTCTGGAAATCTACAATCCTCAAGCTGGAAATGACTTCAAAGAATATTATGGCTTTTTCCACACTGGCTGGTGTGGCTCAGTTGGTTGAGTGTCATCCCATACACTGAAGGGTAGGCAGTTCAATTCCCTGTCAGAGCCCAGGTTACAGGTTTGATCCCGGTCGGACAGTGTACAGGGAGCAACCAATCAATGTTTCTCTCACATCAATGTTTCTCTCTTTCTCTCTCTCTGTCTCTCTTCCTCTCTCTTCCTCTCTCTCTCCCCCTTCCTGTCTATCTCAAATCAATAAAAACATTAAAAAAAAATAGCAATGGCTTTCCATTTCAAGTGAAAAACTTGAGGTCTCAAAAGGCAGTGACTTGCCCAAGATCATATAAAGTCATACAGGGTTTGAATCAGAAGCATAATCTCTGGATTGCATATCCAGGGCTCCTTCCCAATACACCAAGCTGCCTCACACACTCCTGTCCCCTCCTCCAGACAAGTCTAGAGCACCTGGAATGCTGAGCCAGGAATGAGACAATAAATGGGCTCTGAAGTCAGCAGACCTGGGCGCTAATTCCAGCCACGTGAACTCAGGCACATCCTTAATCTCTCTGAATCTTGGGATTCTCGATAAAAAGTGAACAATGAGAGTTCCCATCTCAGAGGGTTGCTATAAGGATTAATTAACCCACAATAACATGCTGCATGCCTAGAACACAGTAGGCACTTAATAAAAGATGCCCAGACAACCCAGGGACCAGAGCTGTGGTGAAACTGAGGCAGATAGCCCAAGCCAATCAGAGAGGTGAGGGAGAGTGACAGGGTGACTACCTGTCTCCTGCCAGGCAGAGGGAGTGAGTCAGGTTTGCAGAGGTATGAGGAGCATGTGAGTGGAGGTTGAGTCACAGCCCAGCTCGCCCAGCCTAGGAGGTGAGGGCCAGGAGCACTCAGAGGTGACCAGAAAGGTCCACCGTGAGAGGATGAAGAGTGAGAGTCCAGGGTCAGCTTTGCAGCAGACCCTTGATTTATACAAAGCAGAGACAGCCCCTAAGGGAAGCACTGGCTAAGGAGGGAGAAGGGTGGCTCTGGGCAGGGCTAGAACAGGTGGGTATCTTTCCAGCCAAATAAAGTCATTCCGGTCCTCCAGGGCTCAGTTCCCTGCTCCACCTTCAAGAATTGCTGCAGGTGGCTGGGTCCGGGATTCAGGCAATGTCAGAAGCTCTGGACTCTGCCCCATCTGTACCAATACTCAGCCATAGCCACATCCGCTGATTGGAGGACTCACTGGGCCCTTCCTCCCTTGGAGTTTCTCTCAGGGGCTCCAGGTGGCCAGGAAGTCTCCAGGTTTGGGGGAGGATTTGTAGGCACCCACCATACCAATGCAGCTCCCCAGGGACCCAGGGCTCCTAATTCATAGCCTCCCAGGGAGTGCTGGCTTCCCCTTCCCCGCTATTTCCCCAACCAGGAGAGGGCTGGATGGAGAAGTCCAACACTGCCTACCTACTGTGTGCCTGCCATCACCACCTCTGTTGTTTTCTACATAATAGTCGTTTGATGCGGAAATTAGGACTTATGCCCATTATTACATAGAAACTCTAAGGAAAGCATCTCAATCATTCCTTGTTCCTACCCCTCAGCACACCTCAGAGGAAGGTGCGGACCCCAGACACCTTGCCTGTTCCAATGTGCTCCCAGGTACCCAGAAGAACAGCAACTTGGAACATGGAAACCAAGAGCAAGAAAGAGCGGGCTCCATGTTCCGGGATCCATCAGTAAGCTTGCCAGGCCGAGCAGCTTTTCCTTGAAGTCTTCCATCAATACTCCAACCTCACAGGTGCGCAACCAGCAAGAATCCTGGGTCTGCTCATTCTGCACCTGCCCACCAGGGTCTGCGGGTGGGCAGCCCCCACACCCACCTCTGAAAAGATCCAGGCCGGCCTCTTCCAAGTCCAGGACTTCCCGGCCTCTGCCGCCTCCGGGGGGCAGCAGCTGGTCCGCAGCTTCAGTGGGCGATCCCGGGTTGCTGGTTCCACCCGCCAGCCCTCTCCGGAGCCGCTCCAGGCTCTCTCCGGTCACCGACGCCGAGAGCACTGCGAGGGAAGGGGCGAGGCCGCATCAGACCCTCCGCCCAGACCCCGGGTCGCCACACGATGCCAGCGCCCGCCTGCCAGGGTGCACGGGCCCCACCAAGTGGCCCACGCCAGGGGCGCTGCAGCGACCTTCCCCCGGTACCCCCAGCACAGCGTCCCCATCCCCCTCCCCTCCGCCCCCGACCTCCGGGGGCCTCGGCAGCCCTCTTACCTGCAGCTAGACAGAGCTTCAGCACCACCGACGGCAGCAGCTTCATGTTCGCGGACCCAGCGGAGGAGGCTACGAGGCAACAATTACTTGGGAGGCAGCGGCCCCGGGGCGCGGGCACGGGAGCTGGGGCGGGAGGCGCGCGGGAGATTCCGCGGGGCACGGTCGCCGCCGGCCTTTGCGGGGTGCAAGCCTTGCTGGAACCCGCGCGGAGCTAGTGGCCGCTGGGCTTCGGTCGGCTCCCTCCGTCGGTCGGTGCGTGCGTCCGTCCGCCCGTGCCCCTGCGCTCCGGTCGGGGTGGCCTGCAACGTGATGCGTGCGGCTCCTTCGGTCGACTGAGCGCTGCCAGCGCGCGGCCGGGAATAAGGCTCGGGGAGGCGCCGCCGCTCCGCCCCGCCCCGCGCCATCCCCTCCCCTTCCCCCTCCCGCCTGGGACCTCGCCCGGCTCCCGGCGCCTGCAGAACAGCCCCCGACCCGGCGGGCGCGACGGGGAAGGGGGCGGGAGTAGGGGCGGCGCTCACATTTTTTGGGACCAGGCCAGGGCAGCCAGGGCAGCCAGGGCAGCCAGGGCCTGACTGTGGGTGAGCCTGGTTGCCGGCAGGTGGCGGGAACCGGTTCCTACCTTTCCCCAGACCCTGGCCTCCATGCAGCCTTGTGACTGCTGAGCTGAGTTCTGTTCTTGGACGCCCCTCATTCCTTCCCTTCTCCCAGGCCCAGTCCCTAAGGCCTCCCGGCTCCAAACCAGGGCTCTCCACCGTGTCAGCTTCTGAGTTCTGGAAACCCGCTTCTTTGCCTACCAACACTGCAAGGAGTAAGTAATAATACATTTATTTATCATTTTAAAAAATAGACACATGAATGCCAGCAGATCTCATGAGCCCCAGGTACCCAGAGTTGCAATTGCAGGCGCTTGGCATCAATCCAACAAAAGCAAAGGAGGCTAGGATTCTTCCAGCCCGGGAGTGGCTCCCCCATCTTTCCCCGCCTAAGGACATAGTATCCATTAGGGTTTTTGAACGATGGGTTATAATTCCCAGGCTTCTGGGATTGGACAACACAGGCTATGAAACTCGCCTCATATTTTCCCTTTCCTTTGAATATCACCTTCTTCCCCAGCATAAAAATTGAGCCCACTCCTGCAGGACGAAGCTCGCTAGCCTAGGGTTGCTTTGTTCAACAGGTGCCAGGCGATGGATGTGTTTCTCTTCCGACCTATGTATATGTGACTAGTTTTGATTAGGGTCTTCTGAAGTCAATGTCCTGACCCAAAGAAATGACTCTCAGTAGGTATTTCAGCTCATAGGGACGTGCTGGGAAGGGATTTGTATGACACAGGGCTGGGTTGGCATTCAGAGCCCTCAAATTGTGCCAGAGAGAGCTGCTTCCGCCCATGTGTAGGGATAAAAACAGGCCTGCTATTTATATAGAGTCTATCTGATTGTCCCTCTCCATCCCCACTTTTGCAAGGGTCAATCAGGCTCTGCTCTCTTAACCTGCCCCGGGCAGCCCTCCTAGCGTAGGTCCTAGGTGCACTAGAATTACTACAGTCCTCAACTGGAATCCTGCCTTTTCTCCTTACTGTCTGACTTTGGACAAGATATTTAATCTCACTGAGCCTCAGTTTCCACACCTCTGAAAAGGGGATAACAGTAATAATATTAGCACCTACTTTGGAGAGAGGTTTTTGAAGATTGAACAAGGGAACACATATAAAGCAGTTAGTATAGTGCCAGACACATTATAAACTCTCAATAAATGTGACAGTATCATCATCATCATCATCATCACTAAGCATCCCACCTTGGTCACTCCATCTCTAGAGGCCCCTTTTCTCCCTTTGCCCCATGGTATGAGGTGCCATGCTGTGGCTGAGCTGATTTCAGGTGGAAGCTTAACCTGTCACCTATTTGGCCAAGTGCCACCATGGAATCACTCCTTTGGGTGACAGGTACTGGGCCTAGGACCTTGGTGGAGGGTCACCAGGAAGATCGCACCTTCGTTTCCTCCCTCAGCAGCTGTCTGATCACCTGCTTCCCCCAAACAAAGCCACCTTGGGGTCAGGGCTCTCCCAGGGGAGGTGGAGGGAAACACTTCCTGACACACAGCCAAGTCACCTTCCCCCCCTTTCCCTGACCCGCGGCCAGGTTCACACCCTGCTGTCCTGTTCCAGCCTGCCTCTCCCTTTGCGTGTGCGCTTCCGCCTTCTCACCCCCGCATCAGCCTTAGTCCTATTCATAGGGCAACTCCAGGCTTTCATCACACCTGGAAGCCTCACCCGGCTAGGTCTGTGTGTCAGCCGGGCTTTACGGGAAGGGCCTGGAAAAGGAGACAAAAGGCCTGGAATGTATTGGGGACAGTCACTTCCCCTCTTAGAACATTGAGTGTCCGATGACCAGAAAAGAAATTGCAGTTAATGCAGGGGCAACCTCATTAACGTGTTTATTCCAAACATTTGATGAATGCCTTTCAGGCACCAGGGACATAGCAATAAAGCAGACAGCCAAGGGTATGCTTTCAAGGAGCTTTCATTCTATGACAGAGGAGACAGGTCAATGAAGAAGGAAAAACAAATGCTATGGTGACAAGCGTCAAGATGAACGCTAAAATACAATAATGGCCCTACCCGGTGTGGATGAGTGGTTAGAGCATCAGCTTGAGGACCAAAGGGTCTCAGGTTTGATTCCCGGTCAAGGGCACATACCTGGCTTGCAGATTCTATCTCCTGCCCCTGTGTGGGCACGTGTGGAAGGCAGTCACTCAATGTGCCTCTCTCACACAAATGGTTCTCTCTTTTCTCTCTCTCTCTCTCCTGCCCCCGCCCCCGCTCTCGCTCTCACTCTCTCTCCTTCCTTTCCTCCCTCCCTTCCTTCCACTCTTTCTCAAAATCAATGTGGGAAAAATATCATCTGGTCAGGATTAACAACAACAAAGAAATACAATTATGTACTACAAAATGTTGTGTCCCAATGCTTGGGATGACAATTTAGATTCGGTGACTGATTAGACAAAAGCTTCACCGAACAGGTAACACGTAAGCTGAAGCATGAATAAGAAGGAGGAACCGGATTTGTGGTCATCCCTGGCAAAAGCAGTCCAAGCCACGCAAATAGTGCAAAAACTAGGTGGAAACAAGTGTGGAGCATTCTAGGAACAGAAAGCAGGCCAGAAAGGAAGGAGGGATGGAAGATAATATTGGAGTAAAGGCTAGGGACAGATAACCATGGATGTTACAGGTAGACATTGGGTTTTATGCTCTATCATTGTGAACATCAAATGAGATGTCAGTGGGGAAGTACAGTTATGCAGAATTCTTTCACGTCTTCCCCTACCTGTTCTCTGGCTGTCAGGTGCCAGGGACACACTTCTAAGGAAGCAGCATCCAAATGGGCCACTCTGCTTTCCTTATCTATTAACCATGGGAAAACTGAGGCTTGGAGACTTACTGGCCATGGGGCACTAGTGAGTCGAAGGGGTTAGAAACCCTGGCATCCTGCCTCCCAGCCCTGCGTTGGGTTCCCAGGCCTCTGGAGAGCCAGGCCCATGATACTCTGAGTGCCTGACTCACTGCTAAGCCATGTAGACCTTGGTTTGGGGAGAGCACTCATAAGCCAGTGGGGAGAAACTGGACAAAAGGGGTGCTGATGACAAGAAAGGGGAGGAGGGAACTTAGAGAGGAACCAATCTGAGTCTCTTCCCCACAGTGGCTAAGATGTCTACACTTGTAGGTTGGTTACCCCAATCGTGGCTGTGCATGATAATCACCTGGGAATTTATTGAAGATAAAAAGGCCTAAGCCCCAGCCCAGTCCTAATTCAAGATCTCTTGGAGTGGGGCCCCAGCATTTATACTTTGGGCAGGTAATTCTTACATTGGTCAGGCTCAGAGGCTAAGCGGTCTGCATAACTAACCAGGATAATGTATCAAGCCTCTGAACAAAATCTGAATCTCTACAGCAGAGGTAAGGGAGCTTTAAGTAAAGACACTTCCCACATGCTCAACACGTCACATGCATTATCTTATATGATCCTCCCAACTGTCCTACAACTAGACAATCCTCCCCATTTTAAAGGGTCGAAACTCAAAGAGGTGAGTTCCAGGTCACCCTACTAGTAAGAATCTCAGCTTCTGATTTTTCTTGGGCTTGTGCGCTTAAGCTCAACATTACCCTGAATAAACAGATGAAGTGACAGCCACCCTCTCCCTGCTTCTTGCAACAGTAACATCATCAGCTTTACTGAGGCTCAGTGCTCCATCTATCCTGGAGATGAGGATAAGAATCTGTGTCACAGGCTGGAATGAGTTAGGTAAGTGCAGCCGGGCAGCCAGAGAAATGGGTACACTCTCAGAAGCGAGACAAGCCATGGGTTCAAATTTTGTTTCTGCTATATATATATATTTTTTTTTTTAGATTTCTAACTTTGGATATGTTATTCAACTTCTCTGACCTACAGTTTGCTCATCTGCAAAATGAAGATAATAGTATCTATTATTATAGGACTCTTGTATGATTAAATCGGGTCATGTGCATAAAGCAGAATGTGATGTCTGGCCCAAAGTAGTTGTTTACTCAGTGGCAGCTGTTATTAAAAACAAATGCTTCTTTCTTTCTTCCTTTCTTCTTTCCTTCCTTCCTTTCTTTTCTTTCTTTCTTTCTTTCCTCTTTTCCTCTTTCCTCACCTTCCCTCCCTCCCTCCTTCCCTCCCACTCTTCCTCCTTTCCTTCCTTCCTCCCTCCCTCCCTCCTTCCCTCCCTCCCTCCTTTCCTTCCTTCCTTCCTTTTTTCCTTCCTTCCAGTGGGAACTTAAATAAGGTGCTGTATTACCCTGGGCCTCAGAATTGAAGTGATCCCTCTCTGCTGATAGATGGCCATGCTTACCAGGGAATGGTGATCTGTAAGGCAACTCAAAGTTTTGGAAACCTACACCCAAGAAAGCAACCCTGCCCAGTGAAATAGCTCAGTGGTTGAGGATGAACTATGGACCAGGAGGTCATGGTTCGATTCTCAGTCAGGGCACATGCCCAGGTTGCAGGCTCCAACCCCACTAGACGGTGTGCAGGAAACAGCTGATTCTCTCTCATTTTGATGTTTATATATCTCTCTCCTCCTCTCTGAAATCAATAAAAATACTTTTAAAAAAAGAAAAGAAAAGAAAGCAACCCTGGCTCAGAGCTCAGAGAGAAGCATGTGCTCCCCAAGGTAGAGGATTCAGCTGCCTTCTTCCACCGACCAGAAGTGAATCCTAAGCAGACCCAGAGCTCTGGTGACTGGGGAGAGGGGTAAAGGAAGGTAGCTTCCATTGAGGATACCTTTATTACCAGGTGATCATAAGCCAGAGTCACCTGAACTTGGAAAGTGTTGCTCCAAGTGGACTTCTCTGAACCCTGCTATCTCAGTTTTGGGGGTAAGCTCAGGCTTGCCTTTTGTAGTCCCTATGAACCTCCTATGCTGCCTGGAGGTAGTACCAGATAACACTTTTTCATACTTGGGGATGAACAGGCTCTTCTGTCTGATTGTCTGGGGTCGGGATCTATTTGAATAGGATGAAGAATAGGAATGGATGAGGTGGGGAGAGTTGAGAGGTGCAGGAACCTTGTCATCCCCAGAGGATGTTGAAAAAGGGACATCTATACTATAATAATAAAAGGGTAAAATGCTAATTAGACCGGGAGACCAGACATCTTCCTACCATCCAACTTCCTTCAAGACAAAGCCACAGTGGTGGGGCTGAGGCAGAGGCAGTTAGGGGGTGATCAGGCTGGCTGGGGAGGGCAGATGGGGACCATGAGGCAGCAGGAGAGTGGTTAGGTGGTGATCAAGCTGGTAGGCA